TCTGTCTGATGGAATGACATCTGACTTTGTTTTCTGAATATAATTTTTGAGAATTCTATTGGCACCATATTCATTTTATCTGTAATAGACTATCTTTCCCTAGCAGCTGTTGTTCATGAGAAAATTTACTGCATTTCTATCTAGAGTATCAAGCTCAGGAGAGTTCCTCCAGAGGGAGCATGGCCCTCACTGGGGATGTAGATTCTGTTTCTTTAAAAACCTACGAAATTTAGGAACCAGTGCTCATGCCTAACAGGCCCTCATGAGGGTTTTTTGTACTTCTATTTCGCTTCTTTCCTCAACGCATCTTGGCTACCTGGAGAGGCCACGTCAAGGGGACTTTTTACCTGTAACTGATGTTATATTTGTGCTTCTTAGCACAAAATTCCTTAGCAATTAAAATTCCTTAGCAATTAAAAAAAATTTCCTCATGCTGTTCTAATTTACAGACTCAAAATATCTTTCTTGCTTTTATTAAAATTTCTTATATTTATGATTTATGCCTTATTAATATGTACTTGAAATTAATAGATATGTTTTTATTTGTTTGTTAAATTAGAAAGCAACTATTAACTTATGACACTGTATGTGTTTTAAACCTATCCTCTTGTCTTTTGCAATAGAAAATATATCTTAGCACATTCATCATTTTTCTTTATTTGTAATTGACTTTTTTTCTTTTTTCTTTTTGGTTTTTTGAAACAACTATGTAGTTGAGACTGACCTGGAACTCACTATGTAGTCGGGGCTGGTCTCAAACTCACAGTGATTCTCCTGCCTCAGCCTCCCAAGTGCTGGGATTACAGGAGTGCACCACCACTCTGGCTTGTAATTCACTTTTAATGATCTTAACCACATAATAAAATGGCTCAAATATTTAAAATGTTGGGTGGATTGTGGTGATGACTGGCATCTTTGTACATAGTAAGTTTGCTTGTATATTAAAAATAAGCATAATACTGGCTTTAGCTTTGCTATAAATATTTTTTAAAAGCATTTTCTGAATCTCTTCGGATAAAATGTACTGAGTGTGTATGACTATTTGTGGAGGCGATTGTATGCTTCCATTATATCTTACTGATTCACACAATGATACCTGTTAACAACAGTATACCAGGTATGGTGTGCAGTATAGACTGTGCATACAATGAAATGCCAAGCCATTATTAACACTTGTGAGAAAATTACAATCATCAGATCCAGAGCAAAATTTGGGAAACATCAAAAATATAGAAAGTAGAAGCCCATGTGGTGGTGCACACCTCTAATCCCAGCACTTGGGAGGCTGTGGCAGGAGGATCACAGGAGTTCAAGGCCAGCCTGGGCTACATAGTGTATTCAAGGTAATCCTGAATTATATAACAAGACTCAGTCTCAAAATGCATATGTGTATATATTTTCAAGTTATATCAAAATAAGAAGTAAGAAGCTTGAGTCATATAAGAAGTCTTTCAAAAAATCATATGCTAGAAACAAACGAGATCATATTAATAATATAATTCCTTGTAGTGGCAAGGAATAGAACTTTAACTAAATCTTCACCAAAATATGTCCTCAAGGATTAAATTACTTCATACCATTTCATTTAAGAAACTGGCTTTATTTTCTACACACACCTCCCACTGTACGTTCTGTTAATTTAAATTCACAAAGACTGTAATGGATGAATTGTTTGCTCTAAAAATCCAAACATTGAAACCCTAACCCCCAGTGGAACTATATTTGATGATAAAGACTTTATGTACACAATTAAAATTAAAAGATATCATAAGAGTGAGACTCTAATCAAATATGAATGGTGTCCTTGTGAGGAGTGAATCTTTGCACAAGAAGAAGCCAGTTGAATGCCCTGCTGAAAGTCCTATGAGAAGGTGGCTGCCTAACAGCCAGCTAAGGAGACTTCATCAGAAGAAACCAGCTTTGGAGGACTCCTTGATCTTGAGTTTCCAGTCTCCAGAACAATGACAATTAAATTTATTGTTAAAACCATCCAGTTCAATCCCTGGTACCAAAAAACAACAACAAACAACAACAACAACAACAACGACAAAACCACCCAGTTTGTGATATTTTCATATGTCAGTCTTAGCATATTAATACAGAGATAGAAATTTAAGAGGGAAACATTAATGTCCACATTTTTCATTATTATGTATATTTTTGTTATTATCTCACTGAATATATTTTCTATGCTTTTACTTTTTTTTGCCTTAGTTTCCTCATTTGCTGAAACTTGAGAAGATTAGCCTTTTAATGGTATTCCAGAGTTTCTGCATATTCTGCCCACAATTGCTAAATTTTTCTTCCTTATGTTCTGAATGTGCTAATGTAAGTTTGCCTGAAATTTTTGTCTTATGATCTAGGTTAATGGTGAGGCTTTCTACTGAGCCTTTTATTTGACTTAATGATTTTTAAATTTCCAATATTCCTGTTTTATTCTTTCTTCAAAATCTTTCTTTTTATTGAATTCAAAGTCTTTCTTTTTATTGACTTTCCCACGCATAACCTCTATTGCTTTTGTAAATTTTTTCTGTTGGTTTTCTTTATTCCCATGGAATGAATTGATTTTAGCCAACATCATGGCCTGCTGGGTCCCACGCCTGAGACTGGAGAACCCTGGGAGTAGCCATCCCACTGGCAACGATTGTTCCGGGGCTCCAGGAATCATGTCTCAGCCAACAGGACTCTGGAGTTGAACAACCCACCTCATCCCCTGCATTCTCCACAGCACAGGACAGCAGAGCTGACACCAGCAGACCAGCCTGATGGAAGAAAAGGCCAGATTTTCTGTCAGATGCGTGGCAGGAGAGATCTTGGCTGAAAGTACTGAAAATTTCAAGTCCATATCAATACTAGGAATATTATTTGACTTTCAGCAGAAATGAAATTGATAGATGCTACAGCATTATATGCATCCTACCACTTGTTCCTTTATGCAATTTATAAAGACAGATGCAGAAATTATTTTATCTAAGTTCATTTATTTTAAGAATATATGAACGTGTACTTTGGAGGTATGTTAGAATATAAAATTGATCAACAATGATATACTTTTGATATTTCTGTGCAAACCAGAACTTGGGAAGTTGAGATTGACACCAGCCTGGACCACATAGTGAGTTCAAGGCCAGCCTGAACTACATAGTGAAATCCCGTCAAACAAGCAAACAAAAAAATTGTGCAAATATATAGTTTTGCAAAATATGGTAAGAAACATTTGAGTTATGAATCCATATGTCTTTCACTTACTTATTTTATATTATGGCTCACTTAGAAAACCAATGATTTGGGCTGGGGATTTAGCTCAGTGGTGTCACCATCTGCCTTGCAAGCACAAGGACCGGAGTTCAATCCCTGGTATCAAAAAAACACAAAACAAAAACTGATGATTTATATTTATCAATTATAAAAATAGTCAGATTATTTCTATAAATCCTTGCTATTTCCCACTGTACCAAACATATGTACTCCATTGTGTGTTGGTTTCATTATTTGAACCTCCATTATTTTGGAGTATAAGAACTTTGAATTCTATCTCATTTTTTGAACTATTTTGTTTAAGTCAACTTAGTGCACCATGAATTCTCATATATATATGGCAGGAAATATAGTTTTGCGTGTGTGTGTATATGTATATAGATAGATAGATAGATATCGGTACTGAAGAATGTAATACAAAGAGGTGAAAAGCTTCATAAAAGATCATCTTTTTAATAGACATGAGGAAGAAAGAACTGATCATGAACTGATTTTAATGTTGTTATAAATTTCCATTTATAATGTAAAAGGACATTTTTTTCTATTTCTTGAGTAGAGAGAAATCTTTTTCAGGTTGACATCTTCCTTTACATACTTCTGCTTTTTTGCAAACTCCCCTGGGCCTATACTTACCAATCTTTCCCTTCATTTTACCATTCTTAATATGAAGCATGTAATTAATATGAGAATATAGCACTGTGTTTCTTATCATGAAAATATGCTATTTAAATATTGTATGAAATTACTGTATATAATTCAGTGTCCCTCTCTATGCAAAACAAAAAGCATCTGTGACATTCATATAATTATAAGAGATTTCTCATTCATCTGGTATTAGTTTATGAAATGAGGATATTAGAGAAAATGTGTTGAAATAATCATTGCTTATAAGTTTATTATAGGAAGAAAATATATAGTGTTGTTCAACAACCAAGTCTCTCATGACTATTCTACATAACTATATTAATTTGGAATATTATGAAATTTGACAGTATTATGTAACCCTTTAGTTCATTTCCACATATAATTCATCTGTGTTTCTCAATCATTCACTTCCCCCGAATAAAATACAGTATTAGGAAGGCAGAGATAATCTGAGTTATGTTTATTTTCCAGGACCCCAAATCCAGCCCATAAGATAGGTGGTTGAAGTTATGTTTTTGAAGAAATGGATCAATGGTGCATGGAATACATTAGGAGTGGTAAACCAATAAAATTATCCATCTTAACGTTTTCAGGCTGCATGGGTTTCTGACTTCTTGTTTCATGTTTTGTTTAGAGGTATATCAAAATAGAAGCATTTCTAACGCAAAAAGATGGGCTCTTCCTCAATTCTAGGGAAAACAGCTGCAATCCCATCTCACAGAGCCCCGCTCCATTATACTTTGGTTCTAGATTTCCCCACAAAGCCTCATGTGGTCATAGGTGGCTGAAGCGAGAGGTGATTACTAAGTCAGTACACTGACTGGTTTGGCTCCACCTTAATTCTGGTAGCCTGGATATAACATAAAGGACAGAAGGAGGCTGGTGAGCTCCTTTGCTGCTTTTGTTACTACTTTTGAGGGTGTCACGAACTCCTTCTCCTCTGGGATCCCCTCTGCCGTGTGCCACTCCTCCTTGGAGCCAGCCTATTGTGGACTGAAACCTCTACAAACTGCCAGCTAAACAAACCCTTTCCCCTTTAACTTTGGGTGTCAGGTATTTTATTTCAGGAAGGAGAGAAAAGTAAGACACGCCTCCTGGTTGTTTGCATTTCTTGGTGTTTTCATTCCAGATCAGATCTTAGCCTCTGCCTCTACAGTGAGGGTAAGTTTGTGAATCTATTCTTATGAGATTTGTTCTTAAAATATCCTCATATGGGCATAATTTACCTTCTTACTGTGGCGCTCTCCTAAATGAAGGGCATTCGTGAAACTGTTAAGTTGTATTTCTTTGCTCAGTTTTGAGAAATGGAGTTAGGGTCAGTGAATACCACCTGTCTTTCCTGGTCATCTCTAAAGTTTCTGGTACATATTTTTCTCATGTCTTTAGTAGATATTACTGTATTCGTATCTTTGTTCCCTTACTTACTTTGCAACAGTCTGTAGGCGATGATGAGGGAAATGCTGTTTGCTGTGTGTAAACATGAAAATAAGCATAGATTGATTGATTGATGTTATTCTTTCTCTTTTCGCCTTTGATGCACATTTCATTTCAGCAGTAACATTGGAAATTCAGGCAATTCTTTTACACACGATGAATGCTGTGCTGTGGAGCACATTCGCCATCATATTTTGCATGGAAGTCGTTATTGGATATTTAGGAAATGGACTAATAGCACTAGTGAACTTTATGGACTGGATCAAGAGAAGAAAAATCTGTGCAATTGATCAAATACTCAGTGCTTTGGCGATCTCCAGAATTGGTGTGCTCTGCATAGGGCTCCTAAGTGTGCTAATACTTGTACTTGACTCTGCTTTCTTCATGACTATAATCAGGTTTAGAGTGATGAGCATTACCTGGACAGTGACCAATCATTTTAGCCTTTGGCTGTCTACCTGCCTCAGCATCTTCTATTTTCTGAAGATAGCCAATTTTTCTAACCCTCTCTTTCTTTACCTCGCATGGAGAATTAAAAAAGTGGCATCAGGGACTCTGCTGGTGTCTCTGTTCTTCTTGTTTTTAAATGTTACACTGGTGAGCAAATACATTGATGCCTGGAATGACGCATTAAAAAAAAATATGTCTTACAGTTCCAGGATAAGGAACTCTGTACAAATTTTCAAACCTCTTGCATTCATGAATTGTGTGTTCGCTTTTATACCCTTTTCTGTGTCCCTGACAAATTTTTTCCTGCTCATCTTCTCCATGTGGAAACACCTTAAGAAACTGCAGCGCAATATGAAAGGATACAGGGATGTCAGCACCACAGCTCATATAAAAGCCTTGCAAATTGGGTTTGCCTCTATCCTGCTGTACACTCTTATTTTTCTGTCTCTTATCATAGAAGTCATATGCTTAGAATTCCTGGATGAAACTCTTATCCTTTTGTATGACCAGGCGAGCGGAATTTCTTTTCCTTCGAGTCCCTCTTTCGTCCTGATTCTGGGAAACAGGAAGCTGAGACAGGCCTCTCTTTCAGTATTGAGGCGGCTAAGGTGCAGGGCCAAAGGTGTGGAATACTCAGATCCATAGATCATTAATATCAACTTTTGAATTCTAGAAGAAAATGAGTGCCCCCCAAATTATTGTATTTTCTAAGTTTGTGCTTTCCAAATATTCTGCTTTTTATGGAAGTTTTGGGAATTTAAAAAAAGTAATTTTAGAATGAGCACTATTCAAACATATTACAGTCTTTGGACTAAATATTTACTTCTGCTGATATAACATACAGTTAATATTTACTTCTGCTCATATACTTATAAAGACAAAAGTATCGGTAGAGATTCTTTACAAGTAGGAAATATTTTTTTTCTCTCATTGAGTTTATTGGTACATTTTAGGTATACAGTGCAGTTACATTCATCACTGGGATCTCGTACCTTTACATGACAGGTCTTGGTTCTCATTTTTTCCCTGTGTCCCTGAAGGAAATATTTATAGTAGCAAATAAAATGGAATTTTGGTCATTAATTAGTGTTCCTGAGATTTTAAAATATGAAACCTGTAATATACAAGATATATATGATGTATATAAGTATGATTTAGTATTGTCATTGAAAACAGAAGCTTATAATCTTATACACATAAAACAAGTTTTCAAGGTAGCAAATGTGCCTAAAACATCAGATAAAATATAGATTATTGGAAATCAAACACATTCAATGCGTCTTTTACAGTAGTACCTGATTGATGAATTTCAAAATATTTGCCAGATTTGTGAACCTGCTTTATTCTAATTTAGTATCATATTATCAATTTAAAATTAAGAATGATTTGAAAATTTTGTTATTAGAAATATATAATTCACATTTGGAAATATATTACACTCTCCTGTTGTTTTTGTTTTAGAACAGGGGATCAAACTCAGGACCTTGTCCTTGCAAGGCAAATGCAGTATTGTTGAGCTAAATCCTGGGCTCCCTCTCCTGTGTATTTTTCTTTTTTTGGTACTGGGGATCAACCTCGGGACCTTGCTCTTGTGAGGCAGGTGGCAGCACCACTGAGCTACATCCCTGGCCCCTATGTATTTTAAAGGTAAAGACCACAGTCTATTTTATTTTTAGTACACAAGAATAACAGCCTATGCCTATGACCATCTTTTAAAGGGATACCACAGAGGGAAACTGCTTTTGTAATACTTCTGCCATGATGTCACTCTAGTTTACAAGAGTGGAAAACATACAGGAAAACCAACTGAAAGTAACTGAGTGCTCAAAGTATGATCAACATGAAGTTCTATTATGTTTATGTGTTATTCATATTGATTGTAGGGCAGTAATGAAAGGTAAATTTAAAAATAAATGAATTTATAAAATAGGTGAAAAATATAAAATAAATAAGGTCAAGAAGTGAGATCAGAGAAGGAAACATGGTCATATTAACTATCATTCTATCATTAAATCTTCCTTATAGTATAATCCTGTATATTTTTAGAAATGAAGAATTTCTAAATCAATCTTATTTTCACAAGTAAATCCTTTCAAACCATTGGGTTTATGTTTGGATTAGATTTCATTGCCCTCCTAATGTTGTTTACTCGTTCGTTGAATTTGTCTAACATTGCATCTCAAACATCTTTTCTATGTTTTTTTGAAGACATTTTAATGAGAATCATAGTCTCAGCAAAAGAGTGGGACTAAGAAGAGGAGACACTAGTGTTTAGGTGCAGGTGACCTGTGTACCCCATGATGAACCCTGTGCTCACATCTATGCCCGTGCCCTTGGCCCTGACAACTTTCCTCCTGCTCCTCTTCTTCCTTTGGAAACATCTGCAGACAAGGGAGCACAGTGCCAATGGAATCCGTGATGCCAGCTACATACACTATTACTTGAAAGAGGCATCACTTCTCACCTAATATGTTACTTTCTTTGTGGCACAAGTTGCAAAATTTAAGTTGCTGGAAAAATATGATCGTTTGTCTGTTCAGGCTACTAGCATGGCTTTTGCTTCTGGCCACACACAAGTCCTGATTCTGGGAACCAGTACACTGAGGCAGGCCAGTTTGGGTACTGAGGTGGCTGAGATGCAGGTACAAAGATGTGTGATCTTTGACTCTATCGACCATTTGGGGGAACATCTTGCATATTCTACAGGAAAATCAGTTCACAAAAAATCTTTGCATTTATAAATTCATGTATTCTTTTTATGTAATGTTGTGAATTCTAGAAAAGTGTTTATGGATTAAGCACTACCAAAATATATTGTACCTTTGCTGTATTTATGCAATATTGTACATCAATATGCTTACATGGAAATAAACATTGTATATAAATGTATGTATACACTAAATCTATCATTCTACATACATATTTCAAATTGCAAAAGTTTTTAAATTTTCAGAAATGTGATCCTGTTTTATTCAAATTTCTTATCTCTCATTGGTTTCAAATGTAGGAATTCTTGGAACATTTTTATTGAGGTTAGAATGTATAATTCACATTTGGAAATATATTGTATTATCCAGTATAATAGTTAGCATGACATCATAATCAATTTTAATTTTAATGCTTAAGAAGAGAAAATCATAGTATTTTAACTGAATGTCACTGGAAATTTATTGTTGTTATTTTTTGCGTCATCATATAAACTTTTTTAATCAGGATGGAAAACATCCAGGTTGTCATAGAAATATATGATTTGTGTTTTAAGCTCGTTATTATATCATCTGTATATAAATATTGGTAATGATTATTTCAGAATTATTTGGAATTTTCTTTTCTGGTATTATCTGTGAAACAATATGGCCTGAAGATTCAAAATGCTCATTTATTGTGGTGATAACTGGCATCTTTGTAAGTGAAATGTTTGCTACTATTTTGCCAAAAAGCATAATATTGTCATTATTTTGCTATAATTATATATTATAAATAATTTTCTGAGACAATCTTTCTATTGTTATCTTTTTCAATAAAACTTGAATTAAAAAGTCCTAAATATGTTTTCTTATCTGTGTCAATGATTATATTTTTCCATCTTTTCTTACCAATTCAAATAATGATACATGATAATACTGCTACACAAAACAATGGTAGGCTATCTAGGCCTATGCATTTAATGAAATATAACTTTTTAAAATGTCACATTTAAGAAATTTGAAACCATCAAAGACAAAGGGAAATCCAAAATGTATTCACACTATAATGACAAGTAATATCCAAGTGAAAAAATAACTAATTAGAGTTATATAAGAAGTCTTTTCTAAAATGATATGCTAGAAGAAATTTAGCTCATATTGTCACAGTCCTGAGGAATGTACCTATAACTCAAAAGTATTGGCCAAAATAAGTCCTCTGGATTCAATTATTTAATATTTTTATATAAAGAGCTATAGCTGTTTCTTACAATTTAAAAAATATTTTTATTGTACATTTTAGGTATACAATACAGTTACATTCATCATTGGGATCTTGTAACTTTACCTAATGTATCTTGGTTTTCATGTTTTCCCCATTCCCCAGTGTTGAAAACTTCCCTCTTTATGAAGACTTTATTTCCATTTTTCCTTTTTCCCTTCTTACCTTTGCCCTATTCCTCCTACTTCCCCAATACCTTTAGACATTTTCTTCCTACTACACAGAATCAATTATACATTTTGATCCTTATTTATACTTTAGTTTATTACATCAAAGAGACTATACAGTATTTACATATGTGTGTCCTATTAATTTTACTTAAAAGTATGCCCTCAATGTGCATCCATTTAGCTATTAATGTCTCTAGTTTCTCATTCAAACACAGGTTCTTGAAGTAGGGTTTGATGATCCTCTGGATTTCTGCTGGATCGGTTGTGATTTCACCCTTTTCATCCCAGTTGCATGGATTTGAGCCTTTTCTTTCCTTTTTTTGACAAGGTTGGGTAAGGCCTTATCAATTTTATTTATTCTTTTGAAAAACCAACTCTTTGATTCATTGGGTTTTTTTGGTATCGTTTTTAGTCTCCATTGCAGTGATGTCTGCACTGACCTTTATAATTTCGTCCCTTGTATGAGCTTTGGGTTTGTCTTGTTCTTCTTTTTCTGGAAGCTTAAGATTCAGCATTAAGTTGTTTTTTTGAGCTTGCTCTGTTTTCCTAGTGTGGGCATTCACTGCTATAAATTTCCCTCATAGAACTGCTTTCATCATGTCCCATAGATTCCTGTACATTGTATTGGCATTATTATTTATTTGTAAAAACTGTCTAATTTCTTCTTTAATTTCCTCAGTACCTATTGATTGTTCAGGAGAGTGTTGTGAACTTTCCATGTATTTGCAAAATTCTTGCAGTTTCTTTTGCTATTGACTTCCAGTTTAATTGCACTATGGTCTGATAATATACATGGGATAACTTCAGTTCATTTCCATTTATTTAAACATTTCCTATGAGCTAGTATGTAGTCTATTTGGAGAATGATCTGAAAAGAATGTATATTCTGATTCTGTGGGGTGGAACACTCTGTAGATGTCTGTTAATTCCATTTGTTCAAAAGCTTGGTTCAGTTGTAGTATTTCTTTGCTGAGTTTTTGTCTAGATGCCCTGTCTGTTTGCGAATGTGGAGTATTTAGGATCCCCAGCACAATTGCATTAGTGCTTATTTGGTTTTTCATGTCCCTTAATATTTGTTTTGTGTAGTTGGGGGCATTAGTATTTGGTGCATATATATTTATGATTGCTATCTCTTCCTGTTAGATTGTTCCCTTTACAAGGATGTGGTGACCTTCTTTGTCTCTTTTAATTAATTTTCATTTGAAATTTACTTTGTGAATAAGCTAGCTACCCTACTTTTTTTCAGGTTCCTGTTGCATGGGAAACTCTTTTCTATCCTTACATGTCCCTTTATTTGTTTTGTGTAGTTGGGGGCATTAGTATTTGGTGCATATATATTTATGATTGCTATCTCTTCCTGTTAGATTGTTCCCTTTACAAGGATGTGGTGACCTTCTTTGTCTCTTTTAATTAATTTTCATTTGAAATTTACTTTGTGAATAAGCTAGCTACCCTACTTTTTTTCAGGTTCCTGTTGCATGGGAAACTCTTTTCTATCCTTTTACTTTCAGTCTGAGGTTTTTTTTTTTTTATTTGAGCTAGGTGCTTTTCTTGTATACAGCCTATTGTTGGATTTTGCTTCTTTATCCATTCTGCCAGCCTATTTCTTTTGATTGGTGGATGGAGGCCATTAGCATTGATGTTAATTATAACTGATAAGTATTGACTCATCATCATCTTGTTATTTTCCTATTGTTGTCTCTTTTTAATTTTTCCCCCTCTCCCTTTAATTTCTTACTTTGCTTGCTGGATTTACTCTGTGATCTTCATTGTCTTTTTCTAGGATATTATTTAGAATTTTTTGGAGTGCTGGTTTGGTATTCATGAAGTTTCTCTGGTGTTCTTTGTCATGGAAGAATCTTATTTCCCCAACAAGTTTGAAAGACAGTTTTGCAGGATGCATGAATCTAGATTCAAGTTTGCTTTCTTTTAGGGCTTGAAATATTTCACTCCAGACTCTCCTTGAGTTGAGGGTTTGTGTTGAAAAATCTGCTGTGACTCTTTTGGGCTTTCCTTTGCATGTGATTTGTTTCTTTTGAAAACAAGGGAGAAACTGGACCTCTGATAATATTTCATTTTGAATATCTACTAAATCAATGGGTAATGGAGGTTGAGGAAGAGCCCCCAATGGGACAATGTAGCCATCACCACAAATCCAAGTTCTGTCCAGATCCCGTTCCATGCAACCCCACCCCAGGGTTGTTTGCATTTCTGCCTTCTTCCCTGAGATCATCTTTTCTACTGGCAGGGAGTCAAGCCAGGGGAAAGTCCTGCCTTTAAACAGATGGTATGCTTTTCTTTTATTTTTAGTAATCTTCCTTAAATTTTGATCATGCTGTCCTATTTTATTTTTAAATATAATTCTCCACTAATTGTAGGGCATTTGTAAGAGTGTTCGGGATATATTGTACTCATTTTCTCTCTTTAGTATTGCTTATGGGGAAACAAGAGTGTGTCAAATATTCACCCTGGAAAACCCTATCTGTCTCTGGCATCCCTAGAGTTTATGATACATGTTTTTCTGATGTCTTTGCTACCATTTCCTGAATTCTTTTATTTGGTTCCTTGCCTACTGTTCAGTTATTGAGGACGGGTGTCTGTGCTCATGCTACATCTTGACTAAGCAGATTATTATCCTTTACCCACCTCAGTGCCTGCAGTGGGGGATCACAGAGCAGATGTTGATCACAAGAGAAGGAAAAGGTGTAAAATGTGAAGGTCTTTGAGGCTGATGAAGGATGAACCTCACTGGGAAGAGAGAATGAGGAGGATTCTTGCTGTGTGGTTGAATTCATTTTTTTTAGTGGCTGCTTCTTGGGAAATCAGCTTTTTACCACTTTCTACACACACAGAAAAAAATATTTCCAGAGTTTATTGAATTTAGTTGACACTTTTTTTTCTCATTTTTTCCCCTTGTCCCTGCCAGTTGATACTTTTTAATGTTAACTGGGAAGCATTTTTAAAAATTACATCTTACTGGACATCATGAAACTAAACATGAACAAGATACATGTCATTTCAGAACCTGAGTATTTGGAGTAGAAAGAGAATGGGAATAGAACCTAGTAAATATGTATGTGTATGTAAAAGTAAAATCATAAATAAATATTATTCTTAGCACCCAGAACTTTAGGAGTACTGACTTCAAAGAGATTATTAGATAACTCTGATACTGTATAGGGGTCTCATCAGGAATTTTGTGATTTTTATAAGTTCTCAGAGCTTGGGAAGGTACTTATATTTCTTGTCTGCTACATGTATTATAGTTTTGTAATATTACTTGCTCAAAATTCATGTTGCCAGGCTGAAACATGTTGATAAAGCAAAAATAACAAAACAATGCAACTAAATATTTGTTTGCATGTCAGCACAGGAAACTACAATGTGTCCTTCATCATAAAAAAACTTCAGGACATTATGTATGTGACACAGAGTCTGGATAAAACTCTCACTTGGGCTAAGAAAGGGCAAGATTTTCATGAAGAAAACTATGAAGCAAATCATTACAAAATCTTGATACTTCCTCATTCAGCATTGTGCTCATGACAGAATATTTTCAAAGGCAAATATTTTAAAATTTTCTATAATTACATATATATTTAAATGAATGCATTAACAGAGCATCAGCAGTGACATTGAAAATTAGGGCACTTTCTTATAGACAATGAGTGGTGCTGCACAGACCACACTTAAAATCATTGTATACATAGAGATCATCATTGGATGTACAGGAAGTGGTTTCATATCACTGGTGAACTTTGTGCTCTGGGTCAAGAGAAGAAAAATCTCTTTATTTGATCAAGTTCTCACTGCTTTGGCAACCTGCAGAAATGTTCTGTTCTGTTCATTACTCATACCTCTGTTGATACCTCTACATTTTTCAGATTTGTTGCCAATCAGGAACACTGTACAAATATCTAAAGTTATTTGGATAATAAGCAATCATTTTAACCTTTGGTTATCTACAATCCTCAGCATCTTTTATTTTCTCAAGATAGCCACTTTTTCTCACTCTATTTTTCTTTATCTAAAATGGAGACTTAAAAAAGTGTCACGGACACTTTTGATGTCTCTATTCTTTTTGTTTTTAAATATTATACTGTCAAATATATGCAGTGATGCCTGGTATGATGGATCTATAATAAATATACCTCACACTTCAAAGTGGAGAAACTTTACACAGCTTTACAAATCTCTGATACTCACCAACTCTATGTTCATACTTATGCCCTTCGTAGTGTCCCTGACATCTTTCCTGCTACTCATCTTCTCCCTGTGGAAGCATCTGAAGAGGATGCAGCTTAATGCCCCAGGGTCCAGAGACACCAGCACCATGGCCCACATGAAGGCCTTGAGAACTGGAGTTGCCTTTCTACTGCTGTATGTTATTGTTTTATTCTCTGTTTCTGTACAAGCTTTGAGTTTAGAATTGGTTGATGATAATCTGATCATTTTTTGGGATCAGGCGAATCTAATTGCTTTTCCTTCGGGCCATTCATTTGTCCTGATTCTGGGAAACAGGAAATTGAAACAGGCCTCTGTTTTGGTATGGGGGTGGCTGAGGTGCAAGTTCAGAGAAACAGAACCAAAGGATCCCTAACATATTTTGGGAATATCTTGCATATTTTAGAGGTCCTCAGGTCTTGCAAAATTCTTGTGTAATAAATTTATACTTTCCCAATTATTTTGTTGTATGAAACTCTGTGAATTTTACCAATATATGTTTCCAATCAACAGTAATCAACCATATTACAAACTTTGTGGTATATTTATAAATATATACATACATACACACATTATATATAATACCTTATAAACAGAAGAGTATGGATGTAGACTACTTAAACGTAAGCAAACTTTTACCAATTTTGTGTCAGTCATTATCCTTTTAGAGATTATAAAATGCAAAAGTTATAATATGTAAGATAAATATGTGCATGAGACAGTTTTAAAATAAAACTTTACAGATTTATACAAATTAATATAAATTCACAACACAGAAATTGTGCTAAACATTTTTAGATTAGAAATAAAGGACGAATGAAGATTGCTCAAAATTTGGTATTTTAAACTTGTGATTCTTAATTTAAATTCCAATATAACAAATTTTCTTTACAGTTTTCTATGACTCATGAGACTGCTTTGTTTCAATTATACTATTAATGCTATTAGTTTTAAACTCAAGAATTCTTGAGAAATATTTATCAATTTAAGTATATATAGTTTACATTTGGAAATACATTATATTTTTCAATACCTTAATCCATTTAAATCTTAACACACAAATATACCAAATCATGATTACTGATAGACATATAGTTGAATATTACACAGGGAAACAGCTGTGTTTTTCAGATACTTTTTTCATTATTGACTCATATTTTAATAGAGTGGAAAATAGCTATATTGTCAGAGGAACAAAAATTTGGGGTAACATGGGTGTCAACATTGTAATCTACATGAACTTTCATTGCCTTGTTATGATATCAACATAATTTAATTAAAGAGTGAAAAAGCTTAAAAACATTTGATAGCCGGATGGCTAGAGATGGAAATATGGTCATTACTCTTGTGTTCAATATTGTAAATACTGCAGGAAGATATTTTCCTAAATACTTTTAGAATTAACAATACTTTACTTAATAATTACTTTTGCAGAAAAAAAATCATTTCTTCAAATTGCAAAATTTGTGATTGGAATACTTTTCTTGTTCAAATGTCATTCATTCCTCCATTCATGTACTCCTCGAAAAAGAAGCCATGTCGAGCATCTTTCGCATGCATTTCTGGGAAAGTTTTGAAGTGAAAATGTTCTATGAATCAGTCCAGGGCACCTGTAGTAAAAGGTCACTAAAAGAGTAGGATGTGGCCAGTCAGTCTGTAGTCTTCCGAACTTTCTAATCATTTTCATGTTATTTTCCACAAGAAGAAGAAGCTGAGGTGTTGAGATGTTTGTGTAGAGACTTTTTACATGAAGATGTGTGTGTTGCGTGGGAAGTTGGTGGCGGAGTGTTTGGTGAACTCCCTTAGCAGAAGGGAATCCTTCCCCCAAATTCAGATGAAACATCAACAAGCAGAGGCTGCTTACAGCCACATCAGAAGCTGATGAGGCAAAATCCGTGAAAGAATGAGCAGTTTGGTTGCTCACATCGAGTGTTCTTCATTTTTTATGCTTACTGCCTTTTTGATATGTACACAACATGGTAAACAAATTGTTTCTGCATTTGCTAAATTGAAAGTGGCATTTATGAACTATGACATGTTTTGTGTTTTGATCTCATTTCTTATCTTTTGGAATTAGAAAATTACCTTACGTACATATACTTGTTTTATAATGATTAGTTTACTTCTTGATTTTAAATGTTTATAATTCTTTTATGCTTATCTAATAAAATGACTCAAAAGTACAGAGTGCTGAATGGTTGTGGTAAAAACTGCATCTTTATTTGTATTTGGAGAATTTGCCAGTTTTACCAAGAATATCAGTGACTTTAGCCTTGAGATAAATAACTTCTTTTTCATTATCTTGGAGAAAATCTTCTCTACTTGTTTTTCTCTGCCTTTAAGAAGTATTTTACTTAAGGTTATGTTAACTTATCATATTTTGTGCATTTCTGTAACTTTTAACAAAGGTATAAATTCATGCATCCACCACCAGCCTAAAGACAAGAGCAGATCAGTCACCAAACAAATCCCAGTATTTTCCTTTCTTCAGGACAAAACCTAACCCCAACCTCAGTACCTGCAAATATTCATCTGTTCTTTCTCCCTGCTGATTTATCTTTTCCAGAAAGTTACATGTTGAGAATTATACAAATGTAGATGTTTACCCCCCTTCAGATCGCTGAAATTCACCCACAGTGTTGCTCTTCATAGGTGAATAATACTTTGTGAATGGATGGACCACAGTTTGCTTTCCATTCACACACACACAAAAAGGATATTTATGTGGTTTGCTATGCTTGGTGATTATGAATAAAATCACAATAAACAAACATTTGAAAAATATTAAATCTGTTGTTTTTTGCAACTTAAACCATATAAGAAGTCACAGTTCAACTGATTCATATTTTACAGTATAGAGCAAAGTGAATGTAATCCTTAATTCTTGGCTAAAACTTTGTCCTAGGGATTGAAATAATCATTTAAAAATAAAAGGCTAATGCTATTTCCTATTCCTGCCTCCTAAGTTGAAAATGCTACTAATGAGTGCACATTAGGAAAACTGGACTGTTTGTTTTCCAGACTCCACATGCTGAAGCTCTAACCCCTCATGCGAACATAACTGTAGATGGGGCCTTCATGAATGTCATCAAGGTTTAAGGTAAAATGAGGATGAAGGAGGAATCTTAATCCAAAAAAGATGGTTTGATAATTGATTCTACTGTTTAGGAGAAGCAGAATTTGTATGCAGAGAGGAAAACACAGAAGCACACAGGGGCCAGGTCTTATGAGAAAGTGGCTGCTTACACACAAGCAAGAAAAGCCTCACCATGGGTAAATACTGAATAGTTCTCTGGTGTGAAAAACTATAATGGCACATAAGATCCTAATGGTATAATTGACAGTGTGAGATAGGAAGAAAAGGGCTAAAGGTGTAGGGGAAATGGGAAAGGTAGGGGAAAGGAAATAAGGGAAAAGAAAAAAATATGAGAAAATGAAAACATGGAAAGAAAGTGTTTGTAAATGGGGAGGGGAGGAGGGGGTGAAGGGAGGACAGGGACAAGGGGAAAAATGAAAACCAAGACCTGTCATGTAAAGGTACAAGATCCCAATGATGAATGTAACAAAACTGTATACCTAAGACTACCAATAAACTCAATGAGAGAGAGAAAAAAGCCTCACCCAAATTCAACTATGCAGCCAGGTGATCTTGCCCTTCCAATCCCAGAACTCTGAGGAAGTCAATTTCAGTTGTTTTAGCACTCGATGTGTAGGATTTTGTTTTGGAAGCTGGGAACGCTAACACAGAGATAAGAAAGAGAGGAGAGGGAGGAGGAGGGGAGGAAGGGTAGAGGATAAAGAAGGAGGGAAGGGTGGGGGGAGAGGAGAAAGCAATATGGAACAAAACACAGGGTAAATGCTCTGAGAAAATCAGCAGTGGAAATGCAGAGGAGGCAAGTTGATATTTTGTCATTTAAACAATTTATCATTCTACATAAAATTATCTACACTCTCTAAATAGTTCAACATATTTGGCATAAATTATTCTTTAATAAAGCAGATCAACCAAGCAAAATACACACAACATGTATTGGAGAGTTTGACTAGCAGAAAGGGTTTTGAAACATGTTATGGTCTTCACTTGGAATTAGACAGGAAAGTGAATGGTTTGAAAAGGAATGGTTTGAAAGATAAGTGTTTTATGTCAAATGTGGTAAGTAAACTGCTAAATAAAGATCTCTGAAAAAAGGAATAATAGCAATTCCATCAGTCCAAACCAAGACCAGGAGAGATACAGAAGAAAAAAAATCACAATTTATAATCCTGATTGAAACATTTAAATGAGTCCAAAGTTCTCACAAATCCATAAATGAAGCATGTCTGTCATTAGCTGGCAGAAACCTTCAAATTTTAGATTAGCGTATACTTTTTGTATGTTCATATATATAATACTACCTATACAGTAGTATCTCAGTCTATGAATGCTTTTGTTTGCAAACAATTTGTTGGCAATCAGAAGCATTTGAAAAATTTTGTTTTTTCTTGCAAACTCGGCACCTAGTGAGGAACACTATCAAAGCCATCTTTCCTGTGTGAACACAAACGTGGCCATCTTTTCTAGAATCATAGAATGAATTAAATTCATGAACTGAGGTAACACTGCATTTGATAGAACACAGTCAGGTATTTTGTCCATTTAGAAATCTCACAGATTTTTAATTTGTATTTGTGCATTGTATAGAATGGTCAAACCTAAATGAAATAAGTTGAAAAATATATGAACAAAGATGTAAGGTTGAATTTTGTCAAGGTACTGGTAGGTAATTTCAAATATTCATTCTTATCTTCTTGATTCTTGTTTGTTTGTTTTTAGTTTTTTGTTTGTTTGTTTTGAGACAGGATCTCACTATGTAGTTGAGACTGATCTGGAATGCACTATGTAGCCCAGGCTGGTCTTGAACTTACAGCTATCCTTTTGCCTCAGCCTCCGGAGTGCTGGGATTACAGATGTGCGCCACCATGCCTGGCTTCATTCTTACCTTCTTGATGAGGGACAGAGCCTTGATGTCATCATGTCTGCCTTGGATTCCAAACTATTGAACTTTGGATTTTTCTGTTAGATAAGATGCACATAAAGTTCCATACAATTAAATCCCTAAGATTTTGTTTGTTTGTTTGTTTTGTTTTTTGTTTTTTTGGTACCAGGGATCGAACTTGGGTCTCTGCACTTGCAAAGCAGGCACTGGAACCACTGAGCTAAATCCCAGGCCCAAGATTTTATTGATTTACTTAGCATTGCAATTTGAAGCTGAACTAACTTACCAACTGAACATATGCTAGTGAAACACTATTAATATCAGATGACATATTTGTATCAAGTGAAATGTGTCAATATATAAGCAGAGATATTTGAAATATAAAAAGAAAGAACAATAA